GACGTGTGCTCTTCCGATCTTATGCACTGATTCAGATTTAGAGAGCAATGGAAAATAAAATAGGCGAGATCTACCTGTCGGATGCTTGATGCTCGTTATCGGCAGTTGAAACCTCAAGTCCCAGCAGGTGTGGATACCGGAGCTCGTGCCGAGGGTCAGCCACTGCTGATGACTGTTCACGCAAAACGACGTGATGACTCCGTGCTTCAAGTCGTTTTCCAAGCGCCACGTTGTGCCGGGACATCGTAGGTCCCAACCTACCAGAAATCCGTACAACGAGGCGTACACAAGAACCGATTGCGAGCCGGAATCTAGATACTGAAGATCGACAGCAGGTCCTTCCTCCTGTTAAATCAATCGCGAGCAACGTCTTCCTTAGAACTTCTGCGCGTCGAATTTTTGATATTATTGCCGAAATCTTCTAATCACCTGAATATCCAATTGACGAGTGCCGATCAGGCTCATTTTACTAGAGTTTGGCTCGATCCGAAGTACGAATACCGTTCCGGACGTGCTCGCCGAGCTCGCTAAAGATTGCCCTTGGTCGCATACAGTTAAGCCAACCAGCGGGCCTCCTCTGTGCATGTACGCATGCCTGTGAAGCACAACATTAATGAGTACTGCATTATTAGTAACTCGAATCTTTAAGCTTAAAAAAAAAAAAAAGATAAATTATTTATTCTTTATTATGCATATTATTACATTATTTTTTATTACATTTTAAATAAATTAAAAGAATGTATAATGAAAAAAATACATATAAAATTCAATGTATAATTGTTCTGGAAAGGAAAACCAGTACCTAGAACGATTAGCGATATTTCGTCCCTCCATCTTACTGGCGTCCCAAATCTTGATGCATCCGTCGGAGGAACTACTCGCGAACAGGTTGGTATCCGGTATCGAAACCAGTCTATTCACCGCGGCTCTGTGCTCGTGAAGATGCGCGACGGGCACCCCTCGAGGCCTCCAATCCTTTGGCAGTGACGCGGAGCCTTTTAGCCAACATCGATAATGAATAAAGAAGCATGTGATACGGCATCACTGCAAATCCAAGTGTATGTACTGTAGTCACT